TGAAACCATTTTTTTAAAATCATACATTTGTTCTAAAGAATGAATATCAACTTATGGTGTAATCTAATTTCTTTTTTTAACTCTTACGTGTCAGAATCAGTCTCAAAGTGTTGTTGATGGCTTGTTTACTCCTCAGCAGTAATTATCAGATATGCAGTTAGGTGCTGATGCGTCCCCTCTGTTATCCACTGTAACCTTATTTGTCCTCTGCACGAGCCCCTCAAAGCCCCTCCCCCACTGCGATATGTGATTTATTTGTTGTTACTTCACTTGGATGTGTGACCTTCACTGTGCTGAATGATGTATGTGCACAGTTTGACACTAGACGCCTGTTTTCTCATTGACTCGAAGGGGAGAAGCTTCTCTGCATTCACCTTAAATGTGATAACGTGATCGTTCTGAGGCCTACAATGATCCAGGCTGTTACTTAGAGAAGAGTGACGTAGAAACCTGAAATATAAAGGGTTTGTTTGTTTTCTCCGATTAGGAGAGATCCGGTGTAAAGGTCTTAACTTACAACCATAACAGATAAATCTTTATTGAAAACTTTTTTCTCATGTCACTTTAGTAGAATCTCTGATCCCTGAGCTTGACCTGATGCTCCGAGCAAGTGAGTCTGTCAAAGGACATCAATTCCTCTTTGAGGGAAAACCCACTATTCTCATTTTCCATTGTAAAAGCATCATGGTAGAGTTACCACTTATAGTACAAGTTATACTCTAGTTTGTTTAGACTTTCACCCTGTAGATAAAATACTTGATCATCAGAGAAAATTATCCTCAAGGTCCCAAGTACTCCAACAGAGCTGCGTAAATCTGCCTTTTACTTTCATGCCCCTCATGTTTATTCATTGCTATATTGCAAGTGATGCATTGTCATACACTCTACTGCAGATACATTATTGTATGTCATCACATTAGAAACTTAAAGATAAATTGGAAAAAAAAAATATTTCTACTGTAAAACAAGGTGAATAAAATGTTTCTTCATTTTGTAATAAGTCTACCTTCTCCAAGGAGGTCATGTTTGATTAGATTTCCACAGAGGATGGGACATTGGCCAAGAAAGAACCAATTAAAGTTTGGAGCAGATCAGGACAAAGGGCCAGGTTTTTCAATCACTTTCTTTAACAAAGTGAAATAAGGTGTTTTCTTTTTTATATTTTCCAAAAAATAATTCACATGGATCTTGTTTTTAGGGGGCTGATATTTATGAGTGTGTGAAATCTGATGCAGATTCAATCAATATGAGACTATGTGCTCCACTGGGTGACATTTCATGGGACCCTCCAATATCTCTCCAAGGTAAGAACAGGTGGCAGTGACACCAACATTTTAATGTATTCACTCAATTTGATCCACATATTACTTTTCTCCGCTGGCCTGATTCAAACCCTGAGAGGGAGACGCCGGGATTAATGAGCACAGCCCACAGGCGCTCAGCAGCCTCCTCCCATCTAATCAAGTGTAGGTGAAGTTCTCGCTCCTCGTAACACCAGCGCACACGACAGCAGGACAGGGGATGATTACTCCAACGTTACATCCATCTCAGTGATGGAGAGGCTTCAGTGCACGGGAAGATCAACTGCTGCTGAGGGGAGGGGGGTATTTTTGTATGAAGTGGCCCTAAGGTGGGGGGGGGGGGGGGGGGGGGGGGGGGGGGGGTTCTCTGGTGGCCATAGGAGAACACAGGGAGGAATCAATAATCAATTACTAAGGTGTGTTTGGTATTAAGCACATTTTCCCCTTTAATGTAACAAGGGATCAGATTTGCATTTGATTGTTTTAAGACATATTCCCTGATGTACTGCAGAAGATACTGACTAATGTGACATTTTCATATTTCTTCCTAAAATACAAATAACGAAGTTAATAGCATTCTATAAACTTTTAGACATTTTCTGTTCTAGGTGATTTTTTAAAATAAAAAGGTGTTTTTATTATCAGCTCAGAAAAGAAATAACCTGGATCCACCTTGTAGTGATTTCAATTAACTTTGAATGAAAGACAAGCTTGGTGTTGTAAATTATCTTTGACTCTATAATCTCCTACACAATGGTGAGAATAATCACGTCTCTCTGGGATTAAGAGCTCTAAACCACCGCTGAGCAAATATTGAAGAAGATTGACACCATTCATGTTTGTTACCAAATGGACCATAGGGTGAAAATAATAAGATAAAAAAAAAAAAGTTTACAGCCACATAAACCACAGATTAGACTACAAGGATGTGATGCAGTGATTCTATGTTGTCTTCTCTCTGTCTGACAGATACACCCATGGCTCCCATCATCTCCACCGTGCGTAATCAGCTGTTGCGCTTACCGATCCGGAGGACCTGCGCCGGGCTCAGGCTGAGCTGCGTCGCGACGACCAGGCAGAAGAAGCAGAAGAAAAGTGTGTGTCTCTCCTCCATCGTGCTCCAGAAGATCTCACCGCCAGCACCGACACCATGACAGACAGACGCGAGCCGTGTCCGTGCGCTCACACACCTGACGCTCCATGACCCGTGCGTAAAAACCCCTTAATCAAGTTTAAAACCAATCCTGTCCGTTCCACTCCGCATCGCTCCGACGCATCAGCATGAAGAGAAAGAATAAAATGATTGGAGGCTGAAATGAATCCAAAACTGTCCCGCAGGAAAAAAACCAGTCACATCTTCTGAAATAAAAACTGTCTGCAACAATAAAAAGAAAAAGTGAGACAGAGTAAACACGCCCACTCATTGGTTCATGTGGAGAGAGAGAGGGGGGGGATAGAGAGAGAGAGAGAGAGAGAGAGAGAGAGAGGGAGGGAGGGGGGGGGAGGGAGAGAGAGAGAGAAAGAAAGAAAGAAAGAGAGAGAGCGACATGTAAAGCTGGTGGAAATCTAACTTCCTGCAAGGCTTTTCAAAATAAACAGCCTGCGCCTAGTGGCACAATTCACCCATAAAATACAACACACTGATCTTTACATTAAAGCAGTAAACAATTACAGCAAAGCAAAATAAGAAAACTAAATTGAATATAAATATCAGGTTCAGCTAAAATTCAACAGGATAAAACTATTTTAATTTTGCAGTTTGAGATAAAATGAAGCAAGTGTTATTTTCATTATCATTCTTATTATTAACCAACCACATGTGTTATCTGCTTTGTTGACTTGTGCACTTACATCAACATGTTTCCAACAGATTAATCCATTTCCACTTCCTTTTTCATGGGGGGGCATCCTGGACTTGAACTCCAGCCTGCACGTGTTTCTCATGTTGGAAGAAAACGAGTAAACTCCTCTCAGAGAAAATCTACAATTTGGTTCAGAGACACTGGACTTCTCACTTTTGCCGCCTTTTTAATTGCGTCACATCCGGTCCACGCGTGGCGGGCTTCACCTGTCTCTGCTAGGTGCGTTCACGTGGTGTCGGAATAATCGGAAAAACCACAAAGTTCCTCCCCCTACTGGGAACATCCAGGTGAAAACCAAGTCTGACTCACAACACAACTTCATAATCAGCTCTAAATAGTAGCTTTAATGTGACACACTTTTGTCACTAGTCAAGGTGTATGAACGTTTTTAGAATTTCATCAGCAATGGTGGTAAAGACAACAACTCCCATGATTCCCAGGCTGCTTTGTTACATCGTCAAACTAGTTCTTTTATTTTGACTGAGAGAATAATGGCGTCCAAAGTTACATATTTGAAGCTTCAAAAGTTAAAACAAGTGTTTTATTCTGTTACACAAAGCAGGTTATTGTTCTACCTATCCTCTTTTAAACCTATATTCTATTTAAATTGGCCCAAATAATGTGTGTCTGATATTTTTAACCTGGACAGCTATGCTTTTACACTGGAAACATTCTGGTTCTGGTCTCATCTGGTGTCTTAATTTGGCTGTACTTGCTTTGGATTAAGGAGCAGATGGATTGGCAGCGGTTCCCTCCACCGGTCCTGATGAGAGGAGAATAATCTTCAGGTTACAGGGGCAGATGCCAGATTATCTCTCACTGCAGACGAACAAGGTCTTTATCTCTGTGCCCCGGTGAGAGACAGTTCAAATAATGACAGCGACATGACTTGAGAATGCATTTTGAATAACATCAGTCACTTTGTATGCTCCACCACCCCTAAATAAAAAGACTTGAGTAACCTCTATACGTTCTGTCATAAAACTACTGACTGATGCTTATCCCATCACCTCCGGTTTGAAAACTCTGTCGTTAAATTCAGGCCCATCGCTTGATATCGTGACATTTTGAAAAAGGCCAAGAATCCCAGTGCCAGTCGGCTCGGAGTCTCAACTCTCCTCAAGCAAAACAATTTTGAACAGAATTGACATTTTGTTTATCACAATGTTTGTGAAACTCTCTCCAGGCCGGCAGCCAAATGATCTGAGGGAAAACCTGCCAACTCAACCTGGACCTCTGACAAACAGCCTATAGACAAACTTAATTAACCCAGACAGAGCCCACCCCAGCCTCTCCAGGAGGAGTCCTTTGGCAACAATCCAAAACACCAATCCAGCCTGATATGAATACTGAGCAGAGAGGTTCTGGTAAATGCCATACATGTCAGTGTGTGCTCGAGCTGAGGAAAAAGGATTAGCTGATGCATTAAAGAAAACATTTCATAACAAATGTATTTATGGACATTTCTACCAGCAATAGTCCATTCTGACAACGCAAATTCAATTCCAAAGATATTTTATCTTATTTGACTGTGAATTTGTGTCTTATTTAGTTCATACAGTGCCATACTTTCTCCAAATCAAGTCAGCCCTCTGGAAGTTTTAACTCTGGATCCTTTATTTAACCTTTCGAATTTTTAAAACCCAAGACAATGGATTTCAACACTGAAATAGAATCTGCAAAAACGCTCCGGCATCAATCATTATTTTTATTTGACCGACTGAATGTGAAGGAGATATTCCAGTGAAAACACCAGGTCCCTGCGAAGGAAGAGAAAGTTGATTATAAATGTTGCTGAAAGAAAAAGACGAAAAATAATTCTCACTTTCAGACAAAATTAAATTTAGAAAATTTATTTAACATAAAAATCATACTCCACTGGTTTTTTTAAATGTACAAACACAGTTTTAGTACAAAGGGAGAAGTCAAAGGGGGTTTCCCACAGCATGTGCCTCCAAGGATTGTGATTGTACCTCACAGTCTGAACTGAGCATCATCCCCCAGGAAGCTAAAATCTAAGAAGCCAGAGTCATCATGATAAAAACACAAGAACATCCAGAGAATATCTTCCCCCCCTTCACACTCCTAAATCTCTGACTGACTCAGATCCTCACACCCCCAGACAGCTGGGTATTAAGTGCATGTTCAATACATCCATTAAGGTGCGATGACTTTGTTGATCTTAGCATGAGGGCTGTTTGTGATGACAGATAGTGAAACAGCACAGCCTGGTGGATAGAAGAATAAATGCAAGTGGAAACAGGCGAGTGAAGTTTGAGCCAGATTCTGTGATGATGCTTAAAGTTTAAAAAAAAGGAGCTGGAGAGAGCAGAGGAGAACATCTGAAGGTCGACTGCATGATCGCTCCTCTGCCCGGAGTAACAGTACAGTGACATGGTTTCTATCACCTTTTTAAAACCAAAGAAAATTCAAGTCAAACAGGATCGTTGGAGGAAATATTTTGCTAAATATCAGGGCTGTAGATCGTGGAGATATAGTTCTGCCTCTGGGGCTTTGATGAACTTAATGAAATTGGTGATGAAATACATTTTAATAAAAACAGAAGAAAAAGGCTGAACATTCATGTGAAAGACACAAGCGCGGTTCTGGCACCAAACACACAGGAGGTGGCTCGTAACACTGGGCAGCTGAATGTGGTGTAAACATTACAAAATTACAGTAAAAATACAATAGTTAAATAAAGACTTACTATATTTTAAAAAGGATAATTCTAGGAGACAAAAGTGAGCTTCAAAACTTTTTTTATACAAGAGGTTAACGGCACTCTATCGTACTCGTGACTGCAAACCCATGTGCAGCTGATATTAAGTTAAAATGATGAAAAAGCACAATAAAGCTAGTTGAATCTCGCCATCTTACACGCAGCAGTCGTTAAGCCAAAAGCCCCTGAAGAGAAGCTCAGTAACACACAGCCCTTGAGCATTAAAATACAAACACAGTTTCCGAGTCAGAAAAATAGATCACCCACATTCCTGTGTTTAAAAAATAAAACTTTGTTTGTTTTTTTTGGCCAGAAAGTCACAGTTCAGTGATGACGTCTCTTCAGTACAGTGCGTGCATGGTACAGTAGCTGCCTCGAGTCTCTGTGCTTCTGTGTGCAGTGTACAAACACACACTCGGTTATTATGTCTGCGTGTACTGTGACGTCTTGTTCACATACAATTCTGCGTGCGTGTGTGTGATGTCTGCGTGTGCGTCCAAGACAGTGAGGACTCTATTCTTTCTAGTTGAAGCAGCGCAGGGTGAGAGTCTCTAGGTTTCAAGACACCTTAACGAAGCTGAGTTCATTTGTTTTCTTTCAGTACTTTTGGATTGTCTGAATAAGGAAGAGAGAGGGGAGGTGAGCAGAGGAGGGTTGTGTCGTCACACAGGGAGGACTGGCTGAGGGTTTGACACCTTCTATACAAGGTTCTCCTTCAACTTTGACATATTTAAAGCTTTTATCCACTCTATCCTCCGCTTTCTTGCACTTGTACTTTGTGTAAAAAGTGGAAGAAGCCTCCATCTCCTTTCTTCATCTTGTCGTCTTATTCTTATTTCAGAAGACGTCACTGTTGCACCCATTGGCAAAGTCGTCCCGCCGCACCCAGATGACGTTGTGGTCGTTGTTTGTGGCCCCCTCCACGGTGCACTGCTTTAAGGGGGCGAGCTTCAGAGTTGGGGTTGCACAGCGGGACAGAGAGACGCTGCAGGAGGTTAAGGAATCATCACCGTGCTTTATTCGCTCAACTTCCTCCTCCTCCTCCATCACCCCACTTCTTGTCTCTATTCGTCCGTTCAGGTTGTGACTTCTTATCTCTCCACCCTGCAGGTCCAGTCCCTCCATCTTCCCCAGCAGGTTGGGTGGTTCTGCCGACGCAGCTCGCACAGACTTGCAGTATTCGTCGTCATCGCTTAAAATGTCCGTCTCCTTCACCTGCCCCACGTCGATGACCTCTCCCTGAACCTCATAGGGACCCAGGTCGAACTGCTCCTCCACCCAGCGGTCCGTGTCCTCGCCTTGAGGCCTGTGGGACTGAAGGGCGGCTGGACGCTGGAAAAGTGGCGAGCAGGAGGAAGGGTCTGAATCGTTGCTGTTGTTGTTGTTGCCATGGAAAACCAGGTCGGTGTCGATGGTGAAGCGGTTCCTCACCAGCTTCCTGCGGGTCAGCGTTCGAGATGGAGTTGAAGCTAAAGAGACAGAAACAGGTGAATGACACCTTCTTACGTTCTGGTCATGTCATGTACTAACACTATTAGATGGAGTAAATCTAAATGTCCCTCTTTGATTGGCTGAGCTGCACATTTCTCACAGATAAGGATTCAGTCTCCAGCCGAACTTATGCTTGAGACAAGTTTGATTTGGTGCATTGAACGTATCTCATGTTAGAGCACACAATCTCAGGAATCGGTCTGTGGGCGACATCTGCTGGTTGATAAAATTCACAGCACATTATGTGGATTGTTTCCGGCTTGAATAAAACCTGAGCAGCAGGTAAATGCTTGATGTGTAATATTCTTTAATTATTTCTAACCATTATAAACACACCACACTAAGGTCTAAAAGGTGATCAAATTACAAAATTAAAACAATTGGACCTAACAGCAGATTGTGGATTACAATACACTGAGAAACAGAGATAAACTACAGCTTTATTTACCTGCTCTGTTCATGGTGGGCCGCGCCCCTTTGAGGGCACACAAGCGTTTGCCCCCGAACGGGACGTACTGCTGGTTGAGCGGCAGAGAGTCCGTCCCAAGAAGCTGCCGCCGCTGCTTCTCCCTGAGGATGGAGTGGACCGCTTTCAGGAAGTCCTTCTTACTATCTGGAGAACTGAAAACCAAACCACAACAACATGAACATTTATATTAGCAGAGGGTTTGATGAGGTACAACTTCAGTTTTCATCTTTTAAACACACGTGTACGTATCTTACTTGCAGCACAGCTGGAAGGTCCTCTCCGGTCTTCCTTCAGATTCAGATCTTGTGTGAACTATCTCACACACCGCTGTCCCCTCAGAGTCTGAGAGAGGAAACAGAAAAAAAAACATTGGCTTAATTTGCACCATTAATTTCTTTCCCTTTAACTAGAGGTCGTTAGGCAGATTAACGATCGCTTGAGCTGAATTACCAGAGGGATATTAAAGGTTCATCTAGAATAGAGCAGAGACGACCACATGCAGATCCGCTAATAGGTGAGTATCTGTTTTACTTTTTAAGGATCATTTATTTTCAGTGGAAGAGAAAAACAGAAACACTGATTGGACTCAAGAGGTCTGGAAGCTATCGTCATCAGAAATGACCTCTGACAGAATCATAAAAATTATATTTTGCTCATCCATTATTATGTTATCCTCAACATAACTATGCAGAATACATGTATTTCTTTAAAACAGCATTGTTAGAGCTTAGAGCACTTTTTAATGGTGAGCAAAAATATAGTAGAAAGGAGCAAAACACAATTTCAGTACCAAAATAGAGATTTGTTATGTCTAATTTTTCCCTTGTATAATGGATCCGTAGAGATTATGTCTGACAAACGATATCAATTTTAAAGCCTCCAGTCTCCACATGGGGCCTCAAAGAGTTGTGTAGAAAATAGATTTCTTGTTAAATACATACTTTAGACGAATCGCAGGATAATTAACTGTGATTCTGACCCCAGCAGGAATTCAAGCCTCAGAGAACTCAATTTATCTCGAGGAAATTACCCTTTTGAAATGGTTTTTGGTGTTTTTGAACAGACGTACTTGCGAGGGCACGGACTTGGAGAGAGTCTGTCGCGATCATGTGACGGAAACGGAAAGGATCCCTGTCGTCACTCACGGACGCTCGGTGAGATCCACCCTGGAAAAGAGACACTGAGTGGATGCAACAGCTGCAATACATCAACACGACAGCAGAGAGCGGGAGAGCTCAGCTTTAAAAGACCATCTACTGTACTTACGATTTTTTTCCTGTGCTTGGAGGAGTCTTTGTAGACAAACACGACTGCTGTCTTGAACACTAAATGAAAGCAAGGGAGAGATGAAAAGGGAAACCATTAGGGGCTCCTGCATTCACTTACTGCATATATATCAAAAGACATTTCATTACCCAGTTTACAGCAGTGACAGCTTAATGCAGCATGTCAAAGGATGCGTTTTAGCAACAGCTTTCAAGGAAAACTCGCCTCAAACTATATATCAGTGGCACAAAAGATGAAAATAGAAGTCGCATGATTGCAAGTATGAACCAACGTGTGTCCCCTCACCATCACCTCCCCTCACACTGTGCACATGTAAAATTCATTGCAAAAATGTAGAATGTTGAAACGGTGGTGGGGGGTGGGTGGGGGTGGGGTGCTTCTGGGTGTGCGATCCCATCAACGTGAGGCGCTTCACGTGAAAAGTAAGAAATATTTCAAATTGCTCATGTAACGTGCTCGACTGGATTTTCCTTTTACCTCGTCCATGTCACCAGCATCTAAAATAGCACCCGTCGTCACACATGTGCATGGCAGCTTTCTGGGAGATGCAGTAAAGTGCTGCTATCTCCCAGATATGTTAAAACATTTACAGTAGAATTGCTGAGATGCTGAATGTTACTGCGTATATAAAAATACACACTGCTCATATATTTTAAACATATATGACTTTTTAAACTATTTGAATTCAAAGTGTGGATGGTGGATGCTGGAATGCGACCAAACCCAGCTGCAAACAAATAAGTTCTGAGCTCAGGTTTTGTCTCGGGTATCTCAGTTTAATATATCAGGCTGTTGAAGTGAATTCCAGTGGATGCAAATCTAGAAAGCTCAGTTTTTCATCTGTGAATAACATTGTCCCGGATCTAGGAGCTAACTGAACAAAATCAAAGAAATGTGTGTATGAAAGGAAACCAATCTCCACAATGCAGAAATGAAACCACCATGGATCCTCACCAAAAGCAGCCAGATCAGGGTCCTTCTTGCCTTTGACCAAAGCGGCTGGAGGGTTGATCCACACCACAGAGGAATGTAATAAAAGATCCCCCATGGAGAGGTCGGCCACCTGAGAAAAAAAAAAGAGAAAAGAACATATAGTAAAACATAAATCATTGGATTAATGATGGGTGATTTGCATTAAAGGGGGAATTACCTCTTTTTTGGCTGCAGTCTGTTCATTGATGAGCTGATCGAAAACTGCACCGTACTCCTCGTGGAGCTTTTGCATCTCATTGATGTGACTCGCAACCTTGTTCATGGCCTTCATCGCAACTGAAAGGAACCAAGGTGAATCATGTTCAAATGCAAATCATCACTCTGGAATCCTGATCATCTAGTTCCATAACTCTGACGCATTGGATTATTGACCATTTCACCGAAACAACTTAATGGTTTTACCGTCCAGGTGGTAGTGCTCCTCACTGTCCGGGTCGGTGAGGGAGTAGAGCTCCCTGAGCAGCAGTGGGTACTTCAGGACCCTCTGGATGGGTTTGATTAGATACGACTCCAGAGTGGAGGAATGTTGCTGTCTGGGGTTTCTCTCGGCCAGGAAAGCCTTGAAATCTGGATCAGTCTTTGCTGGAGGAGCAGAAATATGAGTTTTATTCATTTTGTAAAGGGGACAAGGAAACTTGAAGAGATGTGGACGTCTGCATTTGAAAGTTAAGTCATTGTGCCGGCAGAGACATTTTCAGAAGTGTCTGGAAAGCACGATGACACACGATGGCAGTCTTGAGTTTACTGACTGTAGTTGCAGCTCAACATCTGTGCTGCGAGACACTAAACCAACATCATTCATTTACTCGCCCTTAGCCGTCTTCGTGCAACTGATGCAAGAGAGCAATAAAGTACAATTGAACTCTCAGAGCAACGAGTGGAGTCTGTGTGTTCGAGACAGTCAAGAATGTTCGCATGTTTGTACCTTTGGCCAGGACCTTGGGGACCTTGGTGTGGCTGGCGCAGAAGGCGCTGTAGATCTTGAAGCGGTCGGCGTAATACAGAAATGAGCCACCCAAGGAGAACAGCACTTTCTGTGGAAACAGATGGTAAAAGTACTGTGTTTATATAGTATTTGTCCAGTCACAACCTACTCAGAGTACCTTACCTAAACCAGTGCTTTAATATGCAGCTATTTTACTTTCAAACACCATTCATACACTGTCGACACACTGTCAGGGGCAGGTTTTGGGTTCAGTAGGATATTTCTGAATGAGATGAGCATATAATCATGTCACAACCCAAGTATCTGCTTTTATTCTAGGAAATTAACTTCTGAATGAATCAACGAAGGAAAATTTAGATACAGTGAATTTCTTCATATGTGCTGCTGAACACGTGTCTGCACAACTAACACTGTGAGACATTAATCAGGAATTTTTCAAATTAAATCTCAGGTCCAAACGGAAGCTCCCACAGGAAGTGAGTAAGAAATGATGCATCATGTTCAAGAGATCAACCTTCTTCTACCTTAAATTGCTCCACCCTTTCGAGTCGGTCGAGATGTGGCACCAGTCTGATACCATCCTCCAGCGTCCGGAGGAACTCCACCTGGAACTCCACCATCTCCCCGAGGTTCCCGAACAAAACATCCAGCTACAACACACAGGGACAATCAGTCTGAAACAACTATGACCTTAAGAGCCGTGGGAATCATTAGGCTAAACACAGATTGTTCTCATATTATAGAGATCAGGTAGAAAGTACCTCATCCTGCGTGAGGAAGCTCTCTTTCTGCAGAGGTGTCAAGTAGCACTCTATGAGGCAGCTCAGGTCCTGAAAAAGAGGAGGGATATGAAAGTCTGTGATCAGATGTTCATGAAGGCATCAGGCAGGACATATTAGGGCGTCTTTTTATGTGAGGGCCGTTTAATGAGGAGTCAAATCTCTGGAATTCAAGCTACAGAAAGAAATTGGCTTGCGCAGGTATGAACACATCCCACTGTGAGACGTCGACATCCTGCATAGTCATTACGATGATAATGACACTCCCAACAACAGCAGCTCAGCGTAGTTTAGCAGAGCAGTAAAAGGAGACCATGTCCATCATCAAACAAATCAATACATGCACGACTTGTACAAATCAAAACCCTCGAGGCAGCTTTCACTCACTTTGACGTAAGTCTTCTCCGTCTCCACCAATTCATTGATGACCTTGCGGAGTTTGTCTGCGTGGGAGAGCTGTCTCTGATTGGCGGTTCCAGCCGTGGGTGGCAAAGCTGACACAGGGCTCGGTGAAAGGGACGAGGAGGACGACGATGAGGAGCACGACATGGGGAACTCTGTGGGATTCATGTCATGGAGGCTGCGGCAGAAAGCGGTGACCTGCTCCGTGCTCTGGACAGACGGGGACAAAGAAACAGGACGTGTCAGATATTTTGTAAAAGGGTCAGTTTATAACTGGTGCGTTTTTAACAGAGAAAAACATTTCCTCCGAGGAGCTGCTGTAAGAATAGCTGGCAGAAGAATAACATATAAAACGAGGATCTCACCCACAACTCTGTTAATAATGCTCATGTCACATGCATATGCAAAAAGTTGGAAAATATGCATCAATTTATACAACACATTCTTGCAGAAGCTGCAATAACATCACCCAGCTGGTATCAAAAATACCAAGCATGAGCAGACCTGCCAAGTCAAACTGGTCCAAATGTTAACGAAGGAACAGGGGCTCTTCCCCTTTGCCTCTCTGACTGTTTACACACAGGAAACATAAAACTATTCACATCCAGCCGTTTCTATCTCAAAGCTGCAGAGGTGCACGTAACAGTGAGTGGGCACCGGAGATGGATGAGAGTTAAGTTGAATCTGAGATGAACGATGAGTAATACAGCAACACTAATACTTAATGTTAACCTATCTGATGTCTCTAAATACAGCCGCCTTCCTTCCTGTCATCGAAAATCCACAACCTCTGGATTTATATCAAACACTGGTGAATGTGTGGGTTTGTTTGAGGGCCAAGTCCAGACGTGTCCATGTGTGATGAATGACAAACAAAAGTTTCTTTCCCTGCTCGGCTCAGAGTCTCCTGGAAAAGCAGAAGAATGAATGAGTTCAACCCACACATCAAACACTGAAGGTTTCCTTCTCCTTACATGTCTCCTAACGTTACTCCTGTTGTTACAAAACTCTTCATTCTTCTTGTGTAACTGTCATTCATGAAACAGAGCAACATGATTTAATAAGTAGTGTAATTATTCAGCGTTTCTTTATATTTTAGACTCACACGCTGAAGTTTTCAAAAAGACACAATGAGTATTCGCAGTGTAACTCCTGTGTACAGCTGATCAGGTGATGCAAAACCAGCACAGAATGCCAGGCCAACTTTTAGCGATTCCACAGCTCGTCTCCTGCTGACACAATTTTCCATTGTGGTATTCAAACCTGTTTTGCAATATGATGATGGTGACATTCCTTCTATCAAGTCAAGATGTGCTCTCTCAGTCACTTAAAGGAAACCACACAATAAACCAAAAAGTGTGTAACGCAAGAAAAATTAAAAACACAGTGTGTATCTGTTCTCAGCCAAATTCATCTCAAAATCTGTATTGTGAGCGTCACTTGAGGTTTTTTACGTTTAACTTCCAAAGTAATATCTGCAATGTGTCAATGTGTCAACAGAAGCGCAGAGTCGCACTGTGATCAAGCCACTGCATTTCCTCAACACCCCCCAAACGGAGCAATGACATTAACAGTCTTGCATCTTAAAATCGAGGACTTGCCCTTGACAGCCAGAGGAATTAGTGACAGCCAAGTGACAGATGGAGCAGTGACAGAGACAGACGACAGCGGCAGGATGGGGATGGAGGGATAGCCGCATAAACGCTTCACCATCGTTAATGTGCTAACCAGAATAATTCACGCTATTAAAGAGAGAATGTTGGTGGGGGATAAAATAGAATTATTATCTGACCCACAGCTTATGATAAATGCCAGTTGTTAAGATTCACTGCATCTGGACAGATTTCAACACTACATGCAATCACACGTGTTATCGGACATAAACTTACATAAAATGTGCTTCTTTACTGGGAACTGAACCTTGAACTGTAACTCTGCTTTTCTATGACATAACCACTGATCTCTGCAGGAACAGGATTCACAACACAAACCATGAAACACACACACACACAGATCAGACTGCACGGCTCACCAGCTGTAACATATCAAAGATGGATTCGGTCGAGTGTTTGGAGTTCCTACTCCTCCTGAACGCCGACATGCTGGAAGGTCAAACACAGTTCAACAAGAAGTCAGGGGTCCGTGTCATGTCCAGCTCTTCCAGTCCAGATTGCTTCCATTCCTCCCAGTGCCAAAGGGCTTTGTTTTTAACCTTCCTCTCAAAAGTGCAACCTGTGCAAGAGTGGAGGAGGCTGAGCTCGTCCGCCCTACCTCATCAAAAGTGTCAAAGTAAACGCCCTCTGTCTAACTGTTCTAATAGGCTATTACACAGGCCGAATAGAAAAGACTGCACAACTGCGCTCTCATGTCACCTTATCCCACTGCCTCTATTCAATCAGTCCCTCGGCACGCTCCCCTGTCAGCTCCTTGTTTACACTCCCTCTTCTTCCCTCTGTCCTTCTTCCCTGCCTCACTCCTGCCCAGGTGTTTGAGAGCAGCAGCAGCAGCAGCAGAATACAACATGAAAAAATTATAACCAGATCAAACATCACATGGAAGAAAAGAGGGGAGGAGACAGGAGGGAGGAGAGAATGGGAGGTGAGGAAGCAGTGGGTGGAGAGAGAGAGTCAAACACAGGAGAAAGACAACAGGCATCTGGCCACTCTCTCTCTCTCTCTCTCTCTCTCTCTCTCTCTCTCTCTCTCTCTCAGTTCCTCTGATGACTGCAGGTCAGAGAGATTTATGTGAAGAAGAACAAGCTGCCTCACGTTTCAAAATGAGTCTCTGAAATGTGTGAACACTGCAAAACCATCCAAATCCAGTTCGAAAGAAAGGAATAAAATCTGGACACAAACTGAAAAACATATCCGGTGAAGTGGAAAAACTAAAACAATCTCCTGATGATCGTCAAAGCAAATGAAAAGCAGTTCAGGTTTGTCCGGAGTTTCAAGTTCTTTAAACGCAGACTTCACCCTGAAGTCTGAATCAACATTACAGGTAAAAACCTTTTCTATTCAGTGACGGTTTGCACACAACACACCTGCTGCACACTGCTGCTTTCCGGAAATAGACCTTGATTCAAACTGATTTGCATATCCGACAGCAGGGATTTCATTAGACGCCACAAAAACATCAGATCATAAGTCTGATATCTGTGCACACCCACTGACCTGCAGAACACAACACTTTGACCTCAGACGTGTGAAAACAATCACAGCTTAGGGAGGAGAATGAAAAAAACAATCAGCATCAATACCTTTTCTCTGGTATGTCCAACACATGCATTTGCTAAACCCAGACACAAATGTTCACATATTTTAACAAAGAGCACCACATCCCTGACCCGCCCCTTCAGAACAGAGCGGGAGAGAGGTACGGAGTGTGAGGGAGGAGGAGGGTGGAGGCAAGCTCAGACCTGCAGGCTCTAACCCCCGCCAGCAGAAACCCTGCACACCGAGATCCAGGATAAACACAGATTTACACATATCCACATAGTTGGCATCGTGAAACGCATCTCACACGCTTACACACACATTTTGACACGTATAAGTATCTGCATCTGTAAAGTAGATATAGAAACGCAGCAGTTTTCGTAGCGTTCAATCTAAGGCCTCGTTATTGGACGCTGGGTCTGTGGAGGAGCAGGCTCATACTTGTCAATGTCAGTGAACACAGACGGGGGGGGGGGTCTTAAAGTTCAGTTTCATCTGAAATCAGGGGAAACATGCAAATCCATAAATCCCCATGAGGAACGATGGCATATACCACAACCACAGAGAGAGGGAGAGAGAGAGAGAAAGAGAGAGAGTTTAATCATTTAATCTGAAGGGGAAGGATGATGTTATGACACGAGTTTTCACAAATCTGTGTATGAACGTTTAGACTTTGCAGCAGTTGATTTGCAGACGTCGATGGGAAGAAGCTTATGAGGATGAGGTGTTACGTGCAAGGATTTTTCTTTTTAATTGCAATATGTGCTGCATTTCAAAACACAAGGAAATTTAGTTCTGGGCATTTTAAATTGTGCATAAACATATTAGAAAAGAAAAATGATCTAGAAATGACTGCTGAGATATTCCCATTAATATTGATTTAACAACATTTAATCAATTTTGAAAATATCTGTTATTGTTGTTTTCTTGCAGGTTTTCATGATTTGGCACAGTGCTCCCTCCAGTGGAGGCCTGTGAAACAACTGGCACCGAGGTGTTCAGTCCTCTTGAGAGGAAACAAGTCAAAGGACCATTTTAAAGATTATTATTCCTAAATATAAACATCAGAGATCTGTAACCACATTAAAAAAAAATTGCACTACATTTAAAGGAGCAGAATTATTCCGTCAGGGGTCAATCAAAAACAAAACATGATGAAAATTGTCCCCGCCACACTTCACACACTGAATTATGCATTTTCCATTTCAATTGCCCCTAAACCAAACTGATGGAGGTTTCTAAATCATCACCAGCCCTTGTCTGTGCGGCTGACTACACCTTAGAGAACACTGGCAATCTCCATTATCACTGTTATCCCAAGCAATTTTATTCTTTGATTGGTTTATCATATTGGAAGAGGTGGCTCCGCTCTTTGTCTAAAATAATGAACCTCCCCCTGTTTCCTCCGGCTAGCCAGACACTCATTTATCTCCACTAAATGATGTGAAACACTGGCGGATGAAGTAATTAGAATGTGGGCATAATTAAAATTGTCCCACTTTGCCTCTTTTTTTCCTCCGTCTTGTTGCCGTGTGTCTGCAGGCACTGGGTGAAATGAGGTAAGACGTGATCCTCAACACTCCCCGAGAGAGGGGGGGGGGGGGCACAATCAACATGAAGAAACATATTTTTAAAGAACAGACATGGTTTTGGAAGTTTCCAGGGACTTTGTGGAGACTTTGGACCGTCTCTGTTGACTGAGGGAGCTTTCGAGTGCTTCGCTCTGAGGTCAGGCCTCACAGACGACTGGGGAGCTGAGGGAGCGGAGAACCAACAGCAGCCTCATGTTGTTTATGCTAATGAACAGCAGGGGGTTAGTGAAGAGGAGGAGGAGGAGGAGGGTGAAGAGGAACAGGAAGTCAGGAGGAAACTGGAAGGACAGGGGGGGAAAAAAAGGAAAGAGCATCCAAAACAAAGGACGACAGATAAGGAGACACCAAAGACAAGAGGAAAAAACACTGAGCAGACAATTAGTCTAATAAAGAACGAGAGGGGGAGAGAAAATGGAGGATGAATAAAGGAGGCAAAAAGAAACAGCACGTGGAGCTGGGACAGACACCACTCCAACATGAGTGTTGAGAGAATGAAAAGGTAAATAAAGCTCTTTATAGCTCCGTGCTATTATGGTTTGGTTTTCCTTTCAATATTTATGTGCAGCAGGCTCCGATAATAAAACCAAAAAGCACAAGCTCAGCAGCAAACACCAGGGGACGCCATTAAAGACGAGGGTAAACAACATTCTTGTCATTATTGCGCTTTTTCAAAGGGACAACATTCATTCAGATGAGGGATTTACACCTGAACAGAGCTGATCTGACCTGTTTTTAAACTTTTAAGATGGTTCCCTTGCTTAGAGGCAAAAACAAAACAACACTGACTTTCCTCTACAATGTGAAATCATCATACAGTGAAACTGACCGTTAAATCAACCATCAGCAGGGACAAATCCTCCAACCTATCAGTGGTCCTTATATAAAATATTACCGTCTTGGGCAGGTAGGATTCAGCATAAACTTAGAAAATGAATCACAATCTGCAATTGTTTACACCTCAAAGTTAACACAAGATATTTCTTATCTTGTATTGTCAGAATATATAGTTTATTATCAAAATAGCAAGTTCCATAAATGTTAACTAGCGACTGTGCTGAGGTCAGAATACTTAAGAGCCTAAATCAAGTGTAAAGAGAAAGTGAAAGAGACGTAATTGTGCCTCTCGTTCCTCGGTTTTTCTCTCGTCTCCTCGTGCTTTGCTCTCAACTGATAATGGCACATTGGAGTCACAGAACCACCACTATCCCACAGGATGGAGCCGGGCTGTGACCTCACCCTCAGACCGAAGCTCACTGACACACATCCGAGAGACAATCAGCACCGTCCCTTCCCCTTCCCTCATCTTTTGTTCACGTCTGGGCTATCGACAGAGAGGTGCAAAAAAAAAAAAGAAAGGGTCTCTGACAGTTTCTGGTTATCAGACATTGCCATGGTAATGGAAGTGACAACCGTAACCAAGGGAGACCGGCTGGCACATTGCGTGTCGCGGCAATCACTGCTCCAACCCTGATCAGACAAGACGTGATCTTAATTAGAGAAATGATGGTGCTCAGTCACTCCTTCACTCACCTCTCTGTCATCTCTGTGCTGCGGAGCACTCACACATCCAGTACGTACTCTGCACACATCTGTTTGTGTGCGAGGACATGATGGGTTCACACATTCTCTATTGAACACGCTACAAAGAGCAATCATGTGATGTGTTGTCAGAGGTGCATATAACTACTGATTTATGAGTTCAAGAGTTTGATCCGTTTTCATGTTTTCGTTCGCGTTTCTTGGTGGATTACAGAGAAACTTGGTAGAAGGAGGGTCAGGGATGAAACCATTACAGTTTGGTGCAGATCCAAAACCTTTGCACTTGTTTTAACATTGTTGATGGACATTTTTCTACATTTCTGTTGATTTCTCAGAGAATAATTCTTGGTCGGAAAAAATTCTGGCATTATTGAGGGGGACCGATTTAGTGCAGATCCAAATAAAAATCTGGATCTAGTGGAATTAAACAACTTGATGTTACAAGATTCAATAGAAATTACTGCATAAATTATCAAGTTTAACTTCGATGCACAAACTCCAAAGCAGTTGAGCGTGCTTGCAATATGGCTGCATGCGTGTGAGACCAATTACAAGATCGTGTTTCTTGTCCGAGCCTTTGTGTAAAAGGTCAAAAGTATTACACAAAAAACTGCCGCTGAATATCTCACAGCTTTCTACACAATCTCCCTTTTTGGCTTCATGCTGCGCACACACACACACACACATTGAGAGACACACAAACATCTGACACAGCTGAAGAAATATTTAGGTTAAGATAGGCCACAGGGTTTCTACGCTCATAAAGCACATGTTGGTTCAAATGTGTATCCACGATGTAAATGATTGTCGATCAGCTTGTCTTTTGTAGCAGTAAAACTAACAGGAGGCAGACAGACATCAATATATCAATGCACACAAACACACACACAAAAGCAGCTGGTCTTTGTCTTCCTCCACAACACATCTGTCAGGTGTGTACACTTGGCTGCATCTGCGGTGCTGTATATTTGATTTGGTGTGTCAACATAAAGTTGTGTCTTTTGCATGTCCCACCTTCTGTCCAGCCCCTGTGCAGGTTTTGTCTTCCTGATTATCTCGGGGGCTCTGCAGGGTCAGCTGAGGGCCTTCCTCCAAACTCTCATCTGGGCTCTCCACTGTCAAACCTGATACTTCGTCCAGGATGTCCTCTGCAGAGACAAAGACAAAGAACGGCTAAGAAGGGAGCGAGTGCACATACTGCGGAAGCTGCGTGTGCTAAATATGTGGAGGTTCTCAGTTACGGCTCTGTTTGTTAAAGCCACATCTCGACCTGCTCTAATTCATAAGACTCTCTGCAGTTCCTCATTTAATTGTGATAAAGAAATATGAATTTGCAGTTACACCTCTGGATGCAGGTACTTGTTTGATAAAACAGTAAACCTGCAGGTATGCATCACTAACGTAAGATATTTCTTTCTTCACCTTCCTCCATGTTACATGTGATTTAACAGCGTCCTCCTTGTGTTAGTAATGTAAACCCTCTATAATCCTCAGCCTTTCTTCTACGACTGCATCGTGAAATTGGATATTTCCACTTTGTCTCCCCTGTGCTGACGACATCTTTTGTGCAGCTTCTCTTCTTGGGCATGATATCATGGATAACCTCCATCTGTCTGCTGAAGTGTTTTTTTTTTTTTACTCCCCATCTGACCCTTTTGCGTTCGGCATCCTACACAATGACAGCCCCACACTGCTGAACGATTCCTATTAATATTCATACTCCTCTGAGTCCCTGTATAAACAATGCCAGCTTGTCAGCCTGCACACTGCAAGACCCAATTTATAAGGAATACAAATAGTGCCCTTGCACAGATAAAAAGAGGAGGTCAGAGTGAAGCTGGCGGCTGCCTGCAGGTTGCTCACAAGACGGCATCCATGCATAATTAGCAAATCACCCTCTTCACCTTCTATGCTTGAAAAGATACATCATGAGCTGCGTTTTCTCTTTTTGAGAAGCACAAACTTGGGATTTCGAGGGTTTGTGATCATACAGGGTGAATAACAAGGATAAAAACTGAATGGACAAGGGAATTATGCAATGTCAGGTTCTGATCCAACTGTTGCAAGAACCAGTACGGATAGTGAATAATGCTCATCTGATTTTAAATACAGGAGAAAAATCTTTTCAGGTCTTTGTTGGGTAAATATCTACTCTTCATGCTGGAAGTGATGACCCACAACAGATCAAACTTATAATTTAAGAATTGTCAAAGAAGCTCACTGCATTTGTCACTGTGAAACTCATCATTGTTCAATAACAACAACAACTTATGAAAACAGGAAGCGTTACCCTGGCTCTGGGAGAATATGTCTGTGGCCGGGTCCTGTTCCCCATCAGAGCGCCGCGGTGGAACGGAGCACAGCACCCGAGGGTCCAGCTGGGGCAGGGTGCTGACGCACAAGGTCAACGCTTGGTTCACAAACGCAGCCCTCATATCATCCATCTGGAGGGCAGATGCGGGTTTACCGTTGAGCAACAGGATCTCATCCCCTGCTTTCAAACCTGGGAGATAATGAAAAGATAAAACGGAGAGAGTGAGAAATGTAAAAATCATCTTGTGTAGGTAGAAAGAGTAATGTGTACACAAGATCCACACAAACACAACGTTAGTGCCATACTGTGGCTAATCATGCCTAATGTGTTCCAATACATAAAAAATGCATCCTTGCATGCTTGTTTCGCTCCAGGCTTAAACTGATTTAACAAGACTGGATGTGTTTAAGGAGGAGGGTGCCATGCCTGTCTATTCCCGTCCCTGTCACAACATATATAATCTTTAGTAGCGTTGTATACGACAAAGAAACCTTGAACTTCCTCAGAACGCAGCTTCGGATTGAGGTTTTTTTTTCTCGAGCTCCCCTCGACCACCTGTGCCTGCCTCCGTTAATCGAAAATTAGCGCTCAATTGGGCGTCCAATTAGCAGTTAGCCTCGCCCAGTAGACCTGATTGGTTGTGACAGCTGTTTAGACTCTCTGGCGGCGGTGCGCTCACCTCACTACAGAGACTGACTTTAGCGTCTTCTTTTATATCATCTACTGTAATATGACTTTCATAATGCACTGGATGCAGCAATAAACAAGCACACACACACACACACACACACACACACACACACACACACACACACACACACACACACACACACACAGTTACGTCCACAGACACACAATTTAGCCCTAAGTTATGACCTAGTTGTCTGGGATGTGAAATGTCAGCTGTAGCAGAGTCTTTATTGGACAGAGAGAGAGATAACGCCTCTGGACATATATGGCTGTGTGCATGTGTGTGTGTGAGTGTGTGTGTGTGCGTGTGCTTGCATAAGGGGGAGGGGGAGCAGTGGGAAAGAGAAAAAGAGATTGAGCAAAGAGCCTTTGGGGCTCCTTGTCCAGTCGTTGGCCTGGTTTCTGCGTAGTATCCCCTGCAGAAATTGAAGCTCGATCTCGCACACCCCATTCATCCTCCTCTTTTATAGTAAAACACATGCACACACACACACTGGCTCATCCCACTAATGTTGTGCCTGACAAACCTAATTCTGTGATTCAGCAACATATAGTATAATATTTCCAGAAACGTGGATTGTGTTGTTTGGATGCCACAAACCGTTTCCATCTCCAGCCTGTGGAGACAGAAAGTCAGCTCTGTCCTCTGGCTGATGGCAGCGTGCTACGCTAGCAGCTTTTTAGATCGCTAATACACTCGTGGACACAATCTCACACTTGAGTAACCTTGGTGTGACGCTGGGGGCGCAGTAAATGGGGGTGTGTTATTTTCTATACATTAGAGTTGTATCTACAGAGCTGCCGTGTGTTTCTCAAACCCATTAGGTGTCTCTGGGTGAGTTCAGGAGCTGTGAATGGGGGTTGATCTCTGGACCCACAGCATTTCAGAGGCAGACAATGAGGCAGACAATGGAGGGATAGTTTCTGTCTTTTCTCTCAGGAAGGAAAAACAAACCATAGATTCAAATCTCTGAAGCAATCCTTGGTTTTGGGACATCTCTGTTTTAAAAAAAGCCACTGATCATCAGCCTACGTATAGGATAAGGTGAAATAAGTATTTTTACATTCACTAAATAAAAGACAATTGAGTTTTACTTAGCCTTGTTTTATTTCTGTAGTTGCTGGTTCATATCATGTTGACATACTGATGTTAGAGGTCGTCACTGGCTGCCAATAATCTATCTGTTCACTACGACTACGTCCTCGCTATTGTGGTAATTTATATTTTCAAAATGCACCACTGTTGCTAGGTTTTACTAAAATGTAGAAGTATAAAAACGTTACTGGCCCTGCTGTAGTTTTTAAAAAAGGAACGAGGCAGTTCTGGGCAGAGATGACGCCGTCAGCTGCACGTTCTTCCTGATTGTTTCTTCTCAGTCATGACTGGACTACAAACGTCTGGTGTACGTGAATGGTCATGTGAAATGTGTCTTAGAATAGAAGGAGATTATAACTGACGTGCTAATTTAAAACAGAAACATTACAGCATGGATGTTGGCTACATTTCTAAGTTAGTACTGATTGCGTAAGCCAACGTTTCTCGTCACAAGTTTGCATTCTCTTTTCTCTCCTCTGTTCTGAGCCACCAGGCGTCTCTCTCAAACCATGGAAATGTTGCTGTGCTGGTTCGGTAACTGATGCGATGCAGTCACACAAAGCGGCGCTGATAAGATGTCATGTGGGATCAGGTGGTTCCCAGGTCAGGTGCTTGAGTGATATGTGTGAAATGTCAACTCGGGAAAGAAATACCGCCTGTTCCCAGTTCTCACATATTCCTTACATTTCCACTGTTGTTGCTGCTCTCAGATTCAGCTGTTTCTGAATATCAGCTGTCAGGATACTGCATGTAGAGAAGTGACACCTCTAAGGTTTGGTAAAGGATTATCTACCTTTGGCTGAGGCCAGTCCTCCTGCTTTCACCTCTGTAATGTGGAGCTGCTGCGTCCCATCTTCATCTATGACCGCCACAGAAAAACCTACAGAATCAGATGCAAAAAAAGAGATTCAGTCATTAATTCCTTTACACCTCTTTGAAGTATCGCATTTTGACAGTGTGCACTGCTGCAGCATAACTACAGCGCAATTAGATCCACTTAAGATACTCAGCCTGGGTCGTCCCCCCTTCAGTCATTAACTGAGCATGACTCAGTGAAGCCCATTACAAAATCAATTTGATACCGGATTTAACAGTGTGACAGGAACTGAGATAATCTGATTTAAATTGGGGCTATTGTCTGAGCGTACCGTATCCGATGGTGCAGGACTCTGCGTTGTCAAAACGGATCACCTTGGTTGTTTTGGGGCAAATCTCAATCTCTTTGTAGACCTGCAAAAACAAGGAAATTATCCTTAATTGACAAAAAAAAGAAGGAAAGCAGCGCCAAGGTCATGTTATCGCTCTCAGTGAAGACGGACAGTCATGTATTATTCAGGCTCCTTAACAGAGCAATTGCATTTGAAGGTTGTGGGGTCACAATCCAGGTCGAGTCTGTAAAATGAGTGGGTGCGCACACACGAGGGTCAGACCTCACAGTGGGCGAGAGCAGAGACACAGCTGTGTGTATGAAGCAACAGACGGTAACAGAAGTCTGCGGTGTGTTATGTGCTTCAGTGTGGAGAAAATAATAATGTCCTATCATACACGGAGGATGAAAGAGGGTGGAATGAGCCGCTGATCAAAGCAGGAGGATAAAAGAGCTCTTGAGGAAAATACAGTGATTGTTCTTTGAGAAGAAGAGTTCAGCGAACCACCTACACAGCAGCGTCACACTGAGAATTCCTTTCTGGGTTCACGGTGGCAGATTAATGTGGAGGTGAGGTTTTAAAAAAAAAAAAGTTTTATTGCAATGACGGATTGTTTATGTGAATAATAAGAAACATTACAAACCTGCACAGATCAAAGTGCACACAATATAGTCGGGATGATGTTTTGCATAATTTATAGCATATATGCGATGAAGTGTCTTTTGCATTCAGGGAATTTTGTATGCATTGCAAGCTCAAATCTGCAGCCAAATCATAAAACATGCACAAGCTTGCATCCATTTCTGCCAGATATGAAATGAAAATGAATTAATGATGAGGTGGTGACCCCGAATTCCAAATGCAATATTGGGGTCTCAGCTGAGACTGTTTTAATTGTCAAATGATAAAAATTCAGATTAAGACTTTTTAGCACCTGGAGGAAACCCTGTTACTATATTCATGTCTGATTACTTGATATTGTCGTTTCATGGTCGTCCAGGCTCCGAAAACCTGGATATTTACTCCATTATGTCACAATCTATCACCACAGTCCTTAATTGTGCATTTTCCTCACCAGATCTGAGACGTCATCTTCAAGCTGAGGAACAAAGAAGAGCATTTTGTTGTCAACCCACACTTTCAAACGTAGGTAGTGGCTGGATCGGTCTATCTTATGGTTCTGTGGGAACAAGACGGAAGAGAAACGAGAAGAAACACAAATTAAAATGCTGCTTTGCAGAATTCAAGACATAATCACTCTAATCGATGCCATTTTACCCGAACTTGTGATTTTAACGCCAACCCTGTCATCACACGATGACGAATTATAATCTCAACTATCAAAACACTGTTTTCTTTACCACACTCTATACATCCTGACATCCACTGAGACAAGGAGAAAGTCCTACATGTATGAACTCATGTATGTAACCCACATATATCTGCATACATGTACCACACAGGGCGCATGAATTAGATGCTCCAGTTCCTTTCCACATGTTTATGGCGCGCGTGCACACGATCGCCCACGCACACACGTTGATCAGCTTGTTTTCCTACAGACCCTTAAGTGGAACGTATACGTGTCATTAGGCATCATTATTCTAGAGCGAGACCAATTAGAGAAAAGAGGAGATGCAGTGGAACGACAGTTGACAGGACCGTTGTGTGTGTGTGACAGTGACGCGCGGTGTTTATTGTGAGCAAAGGACTAAGATGAGGTGACATCTGCACAGTCGTTCTTTATGTTTTATGAGAAAATACCCGTCATAGTTTTACACCTCAGGTTCTTTTCAGAAGCTTCACATTCACATACTTTTCTTCCATGTTTTAAAAGGAATGTGGTCGTCAACACACTGTTAATGGTGAGAAACCACTTACATTATTCTGAACAGTTTCAACAGAGCTGTGTTCAGTTTTTTGTGAGACATGTTCAAGACTTCATGTGTTTTTAGAAGCTGTTAAAATGAATCATTTGCTCGATTCTCACCAGTTTTAAAAGCTGCCTCTGTGTATGTGTGAAGACGAGCTGCACATCACCTGTCATTCCAAATTCTGTAAAATGTTCTGTAATCATCAACCTGCGTGTTGCGCAGAAACACACTCGTAAAGCTAAGACGTAGTCTCCACTGATATGACGTGTGTGTCGCTATCAGTAGCAGCCCACCTTGCAGATGGTGCTGAGGACTTCCAGCGCTGTGTCCCCAGGCGGTATGATGGCCAGGACAGGCTGATTGTTTGGCAGACACACCCAGGAGGGAGTCAGGTAATCGGGAACCCAAATGTAGCTGTCGACTTGCTGCTGTGGAAGACTCTTCACTGAGGCCTCTGTCTCCTTCTGAAAAGTTCACAAACGTAAACAGGAATGAGTTGAGGGTTTTTGCATCATGAGTTGTTTTTGTGCTCAGTGAGAAAATCGAGAATGGCACTAAGCAGAAGGCATACCGTCAACCAAATTGCACACACTCCCATCTTTCCACCAAGTTTCTGTGAAAAGTATTTAATAGTTTTTGTGTAATCCTATAAAAAATAAACAGTCAAACCAACCAAACACAAACCAATGACCCATAACCTCCCCGACTGAGGTACACAGATCGTTTTGCTAAAATTGGGCAGAAATCCCTCTAATTCATCATTATTGATTTTCCTGCTTGCAAAAGAAACCAGATTTGCGAGCACCGATGAGACTAGAACCTGCTGGTGGCCTGACAGCAGCGGGATATCTGATAACAAAATCTAATTCATCTTGTTGATGAGAGCCTCTGGATGCTGTGAATCTTCTCCCTGTGTGGGTATGTGTTACATACATGTGCAACGGAACCTTCACACGTAGAGCATGTGCGCGCATTCCGTCCAACCTTTCAGTTCGTCCGCGTGACCTCAGACAATCTGGCGGCCATGTCAGCCTCGTCTCTTCTGCTCGACCTCACACTGTCTGTCACTGATACCTTATCAAGTGCTATCAAGTAACAGCAGCATCCACGTTTGTTCTCTCAGGCCCCTGTCCCCGCACCCCCCCCACTAATCACTGTCTCTCCTTCTGTTGCCCCTTTCCCCTCTATTGGTGCATCACTCCATCATCTCCCTCCTCCAGATCCTCCATTCATGCAACACAATCTGCAGACGGATAACGCTTTGGCTGAGTGGTTCCTGTTTAAATTCATTTTGATTTGGCTGTATTGCTGATATAGACAGTTTTTGTATTTTTATGCACAAACAATCGCACATGTTCACGGGCACAAACAAAACACAGACAAACACATAGCTCATAGCTAGTACCTCCCCCAACTCCCTGAACTCCCCAGCCCAGCTCAGCACCATCTGGCTCCCCTCCTGGCCATTTCAGGATGCCTCTGCTGGGTGGGCGCTTCACCAAAATCTCCTTCTCTCTTATTCTCTTTTTTTGCCATCAGTGGGGTTCCCCGAAAAACGAACACAAAAATTAAAGCCCATCGGATGCAAATATTTTGAACGACTCTCACTGGAAATGCTCATCGGCAGGAAATCTTTGTTACTGATGCAGCATTTTCAGCTCCATCGACAAACTGAGTTCACTTCCTACAAAATGCATTTCTTTACTGTAAACCCTGCCAGCTATGGTTGGGCGTGGGTGGAGGGAAATCAATCTCCCATGGTGCCACAGGGGGGCTTCCACAGTCGGAGTCGGGTTAGCGCTAGTTAAGTTTGCTTCTATCTGCTGAGTTCAGACACAGGCCTGTATTCCCTCTCCCCCTCATCTCTGCATCCTTCTACCAGTTCTCATAAAATATGGAGCTGCCTTGCGTGTACTTTGCTCAGCCCACGGGTAATTGGCCATTTTTCCCCGCAGTTCACATAAATTCATCATTTAACAAGCCCGGTATAAGGCCTGACTGGGAAACTACAGTCCTGTGGTGGCCTTATATAATCTGGTTTTCTTTCTGAAGATTTTACTTGAAATCGTCAGAACAATGCAGTCCGCTCGACAGATCCGAGGGAGAGCACAGATGGTTGGAAACCGTCTGGTCCCCCGGTATCAAACGTCTGCATAATTTGTTGAAGCATCACAAAGCTAATGATCTGAACATATCAGATCAATTTTGTCTCAGTAGGATTAGAAGACAGGAATAACCCTCCGGTCGATACAGCCAATGATGCTGATAGAGTCGGAATTGCCCGGAGCGAATGGAGACAAGAAATGGGAATGTGTCAACGCTGATGTGGAGATGGTGTTTGATAGGGTCGGGAATGAGAATACAGTAAGAATCAAGTCATCACCAGCGATAAGAAAGAGAGCTGTGGAACTCATGCAAAGGTTTCTGAAGCAAACGGTTTGACGAATGTTGCAGGAGGAGAAACAGCTGCTGAAAATTAAAAAAGGTTGTTCCATCCTCTCACTCGAAACTGAGGAGAGAAGTGGACGTCTGAAGACATTAAAACTTGAAAATGACCTCAAAGGAATGCTCGCCGATCTGGAAAAGGGTGCAGGGATTTTGTGCTTCCTCCCCCAGATAACCAACCCACTGAGGAACCGGAGCACCAAAAGGATGTCGGCTCAGTCAAAAGAGGTGGAAAAATCCAGCGTTGTTTCAGGCCTCGGGGGCTTAAGAAGCCCATCACCCATTATACAAGTACAAGGGTTCATCAGATGCCCCAGTAATTTCTATGTTGGCTGATGAGAAAGGAAAACAATGACACGGAATCGGCCTGCAGCTAAACGAGCTCTGGTTCTCTGAAGTCAATGCCAAACTAAGAAAGGGAGGAGGAACTTAGTGCTTTGCCTTAGGTAGAAAATCACTGCGGAGATACAAACATTCTGTGTATTTGATGTGTCATTAGTCATTGGATGGACAAGGAACACAAAGGGAAAAAAAGGCATGGCCTACTTGAGGTTACAATTAATCTTGTGAACGTTTTAAAGCCATTTTAAAGAAGTTGAAGTTAAAAGTTTTGTCTGACGAATGCAAAAGAGAAGACAATGTGTAATCGTATGGTCTACTTGTATTTTGAAGTAAAGACGTTGAAGTACTTACAGATTTCTCACTGACGGAGTCTTCGAACATGCGCTCCAAGGGTTTTTTTGTGGACTCCATCCCATCGACGAAAACCTGCACAACATTAGCTTTTAACATCACAGCTGCATCTGAATGTATCAAACTCACTATTTCATTTGCAACTAGAAGGAACTTAACACTGAACATTTACTGAACTTTCAAACCTGCATTATGTCTTAAGTGTCTGCATTCCAAATAAAACCAATATCTAAAGTAAAAATGACGTTTAATGGTCAACTTGCTTTGTCTCCAAACTGTTCCTACATTTATTCATCTCACACTTTCAGTTTCTATCTAAAGCCACTGTCGTAAAGTTTTACCACTTTAAACATTACGTTGGGTGAACACAGCACAGATGTGTTACTATGGCGGTGACCTGGTTAATGGAGGGATGGCCCTTGCTCTTCCTCTTGGAAGTGGTGTCCAGCCCCCACAGGGAGGAGAACCGGCTTCGACGTTTGCTGAAGGTTCGAGGCATCGCCTGGTTTCTCCTCCGGATGCTGCACTCTGTCCGAGCCGCCACCTGTGACGGTGATGATAACACAAAGCATGAATTTAATCAGAAGAGTATTGGAACCTTAATTATGGACGATCAACATGATAGTTGTTCAAAGAGAAACCGAGCAGCAGGCTGAGTAATTTATAGTATATGAGTAATTCATGCTGCTCACTGATCCATATCTGTTAATAAACTTTACTTATTTTATTCATTTGGATTTATTTCAATGGTCCAGAGTCCAGCGTGCGATTGTCTACACATGTTGTCAATTTCATTATCTATTAGGTAATTAATACAAACATTTGATTGGAGTAAATTAATGTAAAATACTTGCATATGTGATTAATTGCAATAAAGTACTACTTAGCTGACCTCCATTGGGAATTTTTCATTACTTTTGAAATTGAATACTTGTTTTTATGGTAAAGTACTTTTCAAATAATACTATGATAATATGTATTTATACAAGCACCTACCCCTACAAACAATGCAGCTTTACAAAAATACAATAAGATAGAATGAATAAGTAAAATAAAAGCAATTACATGGAAATGATGAGTATATGTACGATGAGTCGTTTCTTGTATTCAGACATGAATGCACATGAGGGATATAAACACACCAAGACATAAAATCACACATTGTCAGTATCTACTGGCACATCTAGAACAATTTCAACCTCTCGCCCACCTCTGACCTACAACACAGAGAAACCACTACTGGCATTTCTGGGTTAATTCACTTTGAGCTACTGGGCCATGAGCTGCTCTGACTCACTGACTATATGGTGCAAACGCACATAATTCAATGCACATGCTGGCATGTACGTGCACACGAGCACATACCATAGTTATGTAATTGTGTGGGCTCATTGGTCTCCTCACCAGTCTCATGAGACTCACACACGTCAAAGATAATAGGTCAAATTGTCTTCAAGACTCGTCTCATGTGAGCTGCACGCAAGAGGACATTTAACTGCCTATTTCACTACAGCGTCTCTTTTGGACATGGATGATAACAACACTGATTAATAGACAGAATTACTGAAGCAAGTAAAGGAAGAAAAACATCATTTAGTTGGTTATCATAAAAAACAAGTTTAATTAATCACGACTTTCTCTTCTTAATTTTGTTGTTTAGCCGTTTATTTACCTTAAACAAGGAGGTCGTGTTTTTTTTTGCCCCTGTCTGTTGGTTTGCTTGTTTGTTTGTCAGCTGGATTATGCAAAAATCATTGAATGGACTTCCATGAAACTTGGCAGAAGAAAAGGAACTGGGCCAAGAAAGAACCCATTAAATTTTGATGTGGATCTGGACCAAGGGAAGGATCCAGGGATTTCTTTCTTCCTTTAATATTGTGTGATATATGTAAGACTGATATCGATGATTGTTGGGCCTTGGTCTCTACTCAGTGCTAGTTTTATATCCATACATGTGGCAAAAATGTGCTTAAAACTCATTTATCAAATTCAATAATAAAATCTAAAATGTGGGCGATAAAGGGACATGATGGTTATCATGGAGCGAAAAATAGATAGTGGTTGAGAAAAAGAGGAGAGAATAGTGAAGAAAGAATTAGTGGGAAGGAAAATGTGGCAGAGAAGGAGGCAGAGTCTGAATGAGACAGACACAGACAAAGGAAGTGGAGGTGTGTGCAGCAGGAGGACGGGGTGGGGGGCAACAGAGCAGAGAGTATTAAGCCTGTTTGTGGGAAAGTGCCTCAGGGATGGCAGCTTCCTAACAGAGCTTTTATTGATCCACCAATCG